TGAAAATATTATATAATATATAATATATATGCACGCAAAATTTCTTTTTAACATGAAATTACAGAGAAAACATTCGGTATGCATATAATAACACAAAATTCTCACGATCGCGATGTAAAATATGTGGCTATACGTCATATCGACAAATGATTATTACTAGCATTTATTATTAATTATCAAATACAACTGCAAAATTTGTTTTGCTTTTGTTTAATTTGTGTGAGCAATCGTGAGCAACTAACAAGATTGTTAATTTATATAATTATATATATTTCTTTCAATAAAAAAGAATGTCAATTATTAACTATATATGTAATTTATACATATTACAAAATACAAAAGAAATGTGCAACATGCAAAAAAATACACAAACTTCGATACAAGACAATGTGATAAATGAAACGATCTAATCAATTCCAATACATATAATTTTTAATTCTGCAACGCGTCTTCTAATTATAATTATTATTTCTTTATATGATAATAGAAATGTTATTTAACAACTATTAAATGTGTTGCAATATCGCATCTGTGATTCAAATAATATAATGAAATGAACCAAACGATTTAATCGCACATATCATTCTATGATCACGTATTCTATTTCTCGCTTTACTTTCAACAGAAAGATAACTTTATGAGTCTCTAAAAAATCAGGAAATACTGTGTTATCACTGCGTTAAATAGAAAATAACTAGTCCAACAATGAAACCAGGTCTTTCCGAGTAAGACATTGGATAGTATCCGACAGAAAGAAAAATGATCTCCACGGAGTTCTGCTTCTCGTCAAGCCATCAACGCAAAAGAAAGTTAAGTGATTTGTTGGACACTAAAAACTCCGTTGCAGGAGGAAACCAAATTTTTCAGACTGTTTTTATAATAGCACCATCTTAGCAATGAATTAACAATTGTTACTCTTTTCCAAATTTTTACAAATAATGCAAATATTATACAATTATCGAATACTTTAATGATAACTTAAATAATATTAATTATAATTTTATAGTACACAAGACCAAGATTTGCACGCAAAAATATATTCTTTATATTATTATGAAATACAGTATCTTAACAAAATAAAAAAACATGGATAGAATAATGTTTATCGAAGGATAGTTACAAATGATTATATTTCAAAGTAATAAAATACATACGTCATTATAATTTATTATATATGTGAGTACAAAAATTCTCAGGTACCAACTGTTCAAGACGAATTGAACCGATAACAATGAGATTTAAATTTTATTTTCATTTTTTCATCTTATTTCGATTTTATAATCGAATATTATTAATATAAAATTTATATCAATCTTCTTTTTTGTGTAGCAGTTACTTAAGTATAGTCAAATAATTAAATAGAATTATCTAAAAATAATTAATATAATAATTAGTTATCAAAATCTTATTGATATTGGGGTACCCAATCGATTCGTCTTGAATTTTTAAGTACCCACATTTTTAATTATATCCATTATATTATTTTAATTTAATTTTATACAATAAATTATTTAAATAAACAAATCTTTTTGATAAAATTTTGTCAGATAAAAGAAGCTAAAAATTTCTTGCATAATATATAAACTACGTATGTATTTCATTATACAAATTAATCTAAAAAATTTTTTCATTAATCAATGTTTTAGAATAAAGGGATGTCCAGTGTCTGAAAACAGTTTCTTAAAAGAAACTAAAGATTAAAATAAAAAAATATATTCATTTGTAACCACATTTTTTCTTAAAGAAATCGCAAAACCGACTGCTTAACAAAACTTGTAATTTTAGTTGATTTAATGTAATTCACTTATCTATAAACAATTGCTATCCATGTTCAATCCGTGAAATTTTATTATTGTTAAAGCAGTATTAATGTTAATTAATAAAAGAATATTTAATAAAAAGAATAAATTCTTATCTCAGAACATACTATATTTAATTAATTTCATGATTAGATTTAAAAAAATTATATTGCCGTAGTTAATTTATTGCCGAAATCATACTGCTTTCAGAGAACATAAAAAAACTCTTAATTAATTAAATGATTAATTTCAGCCCTGCAACGGCCGAGAATCCTCAGATTCAATGAAGTAAATAGGCATCTCGGATGGATGCTATGCAAATTGATGAGAAATAACTTTCTACGTTAAAAATCATTACTTTCATTGGTACGAATTACAATATTTATATGACTACTACTTGATGCTAGGAACAGCCACAATCGAATCCCAATTATCGTACTTATGAACAGGAAAATAACACAATATTATATATTTGCATTAACTTTTAATAATTTAATATGAAACATAATCTAAGAATTCGGAAAGAATTAATAAATATTTAATATTATATACTTTACGAGTACGTTTCATTGTAAAAGCGAGATAAAATAAGGCGTTTTGCCAAATTCTATAATAAGTTTTAACATAAAATTTGAAACTTCGCAAAAATATTAAATTTACTTGTAACATCGTGATATCTAACATGAATGTTAATTTCGTAAACAAAAACTGTATACATGACATACCATTGTCTTCAATTATTATAATACATGCCATATAAACTATAACTTTTAATACGGAATTTTAAATGAAGTATTTCCCGAATTTTTATTAACAATCTTTTGGTAACAAAAAAATTTTTAAATCTCCTAAAACGAACATTTATTAAATGCGCATCGATTTTTGTCTTATTAATTGCATCCGATTATATAATAAGCATTATCTATAATTATTATTACAATTACAATACATAGTATTTCCAATTATATTATATAAATAACACAATAATATACGATTATTACATAAATTACAAATATAATACATATCATTTACAAAAATATGTAATATTTTACATTGTCTCTAAGAATTAATTTAAAATTAATAATATAATTTTTAAGCTGTTATTAAAAATATATATATCGACATATTTATAATTATTATATATAAGTTATCATTATTTTGTCTATAATAGAATTTTTTCAGCTTTATTTTTCAACTCAAATTATTAACACTCATACTTGACCGAATCCCTACCTACCCGTATCCCAATCTATATTCCTACTTGCCCATATTTTTTCGTATCCATTTACCTACCTACCCGCATATTTAATAAAAAAAATCTTTAATTAAAATTGCGACGCGATATGCGACTTACAGAGTTTCAAATATACGCGCGCGAATAAAATATAAATTGGATTTTTCCAGTCTCGTACATATATGAGAAAATAAAGGAAAATATAGAGGAAATCAAATAAATAAATAAATAATTTTGTACATTACCTTATACTCCACGTGATCAAAATTTATTCTTTCTGTCATATTTCTCATTCTTTCTTTAGGCCAGATTGGACTTACCTTTCGTCACATCTGATCATATTTGATCGCATTTCAATTAAATCGATAAGACAGAGGTACCTTCTTGCTGTCGGATTATTGTTATTGCCGACAGACAATGTATTACGTTCGATTCGTGTAGTACATACGCAAGAAGATCGTACCAAAAAATTTAAACTAATGAAAAATTTAAAGAAAATATTAATAATCGTAAAAATTACAAATTGAATTATCGTATAAATGAATGAATCGTACAAAACTGAAGATATATTCATAAATTTCATTACTTGCATGAGAATTATGATCGAATATTTCTCTACGATACGCGTGCTGTTTAAACTTGGAATTTAAGTTTAAAAAGACTTTGCTTATCCTATTATATGTATATTGATGCCGTTCTAAACAAAAAACATTATTTACATATTTCGCGAACAATTGCAATTTATAATGTCAGTAATATTCTAATACTTAAAAATCGGTAAATAATAAAGTAATAAAAAATTTGATGATGCACAACAATGAAGATATAATGCATGTTTATATGATAAGCACCTTCAAAGCAAAATAAAATATATAAAACAAAATAAATGACATGAGATCCGAAAGAACTAAACATACAGTATCTATAATAATAATAGAATATTATAATTAATTATCGCGCTGCTATGAATAATATACATAAATAATTATAAGATTACCGATATATTTTATTATTTTTCATTTCATATTCAGATTATTTTTAATATAACATTTGATATAAATTAAATTGTAAAATAAATTACATATAAAATTTTAATTATGAATGAGAGAGAACAATTAAATGAAACCGGTGGATCAAGATGTTATTCATATTTCCAGCCTATTAAAATATTTTAAAATATGATGGTTGAAGTTATACATAAGATAAGGAGAAATGAATCACAATTAAGTACCATTATAAATATTATATTAATGATCAATATTCAAACAAATATACTATTATTTATTGTGTAGTCTGCAATCACTTACATGTAACATATTAAATTTTAAGTAATTGAATAAATTATAAACAAAAGACGTTAATAAAATTATTGATAGAACAATTGAAACTTAGAAAAAGTAATTCGATCACCAAATCGCTTTTTAAATCTCTTTAAAAGTAATTATCAAAGAATGAAAAAATAAGAAACGATCGATATGAACAAATGAATTATTACTCTCGATTCATAACAGTGACCTAGGTAAATATTGATGATATTCGTGACATAAGACTCTAATTTAGATAACTCCTATTTTATTTCGTAAACCATTACCTAACTAATAATTTAACTTTAAAAATATTAACAGTTATCGACCGATATTGAAATTATTCAAATACGGAATCCGGATCTCATGGGTGAAAATTCGGATTTAATGCATGCAACAAGGACCTGTCATTTTCAACGAAGTAATAGAAATTGCATGTAACAATAAAAATCATTGCAACACCCCAATATTTTCCTCAGATTTTCCTTTCATTAATGTATCATTAGGTATCAGCAAAAGTAACTTAAAAATCAGAATTCACATAAAACAAAATATTATATTGGGTCATCTAAAAAGTATCCACGGTTTTTTGTCACTAGATATGTTGACCACCAACACAATCTAGTAACAAAAAACCGCGGATACTTTTTAGATGACCCAATATTAAATTCTCGCGAAATATTATAATAAAGTCTTGCGAATCACTATATATTGATGTTGCAAATCCTTCATGAAAAGTGCAAACAACAATGCCAATTGCCCGACACGCAAAGTTACTGACGATGTGCTACGATCGACGCGGCGGATGCAGGACCGACAATGAGATCATTGCGAATACGGTTGGCTTCTCGTGTCACGTTTAACGCGCGTCTAACGTCGACGAGGCCTTCATAACCATAATACTTTGCGATCCACAGTAGTCTGTGTCACAACAAGTGTACAAACGCTTGGCTGATAGACGCGACGTGAGGCAACCCACTTTCTGGGGCGGTATTGCCCACATCCCTCGTGCATTAATTATGGTTAATTCGGCTTATCGGCTTGTTAGACGCTAGTCGTACGAGACAAGCTCGACGGACCGATAAACGTGACGAGAATTGAACACGTATTGCAACGATCTCACATATCGGACCGTACCTCGTATGTAAGCAAATTTCGATTTAAACCCGAAAAGAATCCCTGAAAAAACGCAATGTCCCTTGCACGTACTGAAAAGAAGCTGCAACAGAAAAATTATAAAGAATTATTGAAAAGAAACAAATTAAAATAATTGAAACGAAGGAAATGCTATAGGAGGGAAACTATAAACATAACGTTCAAAGGAGAAATTAAGAAGAGTTCTTGGAAAATGTTAAAAATGCTTGCTCATTAGTATTAAATATTTACTTCCATGTCATTTTTCCCCCTATTCTACAAATCGTCAATAATGTGCTTTGATTTCTCTATTGCAACTTTCCTCTCTAATTTCGTTAATGTAGTACGTTTCTCGTTCCGCGTATCTTGATTTCTTTTCTCAAAAAACCTCTTTAACGTCTCGGAAATCACTTTGTATCTCGGCTGTAGCTTCTTCATGGTACATGCAAGAGACAGTGCGAATTGCGCGAAGAGGTAATTTACTACGAACGACGCGGTGGATACGGGACCGACAGTGAGATCATTGCGAATACGGCTGGCTTCTCGTGTCACGTTTAACGCGCGTCTAACGTCGACGAGGCCTTCATAACCATAATACTTTGCGATCCACAGTAGTCTGTGTCACAACAAGTGTACAAACGCTTGGCTGATAGACGCGACGTGAGGCAACCCACTTTCTGGGGCGGTATTGCCCACATCCCTCGTGCATTAATTATGGTTAATTCGGCTTATCGGCTTGTTAGACGCTAGTCGTA